AATTTTAACATTATAAAATAAAGTCGAATATTTGACAGTAATGGCCCAAGCCAAGTCACATCATCCACCCATTGATAGTTCTTTATTCAGCTGGAGTTTATCTGTTTGATAAATTTTTTGGTACGTCCTTACGGGTTTTTATGGGAAACCTTGTGTTTTTTCTAATTGTACAGTTTATCAATCGTGTCAATATCAGTTTCATCATCATCGCCCGCCACCTTTTTTAGATTCAAATTTTTTTTTGCCGTTTTCAATTTTTAAATCTTTGTATTAATAAAATTTGTAGATTTTTTAATCCATGTGATTGCTTTTTCAAAAATCAATCAATGCTCAGTAAGAATCAATTGGTTTACTTGAATGAACCCATTGCATCCAAAGAGGTTTTTAAAAAGCTATGTGTAACTTTGAAGAATTGGCAATTCAGATCCTGACGATCAAATCCTCCTCATCTGTTATTTTGATCATAGCTAACATTATAATTTTGATAAATTGCTTTTTTGTTTTTGATGTTACGGTTATGTTTTGTGAAGAAAAAGTCATTTTTGTGTATATGTATGTTGTATGTGAAATTGAAATTTATAATTAAAATTTTGGGTGGGTGATTGGATATGAAATTCTGATTGGTTAATTTGAATTTCACGTGAATTGCAAATTCACATAGATTTAATTTTTACGCATAACATATAACATATATATGTATTAATATACACGCTGTATCCAAATAACGTGAGTGGTGATCATGTTGGTTCATATTTTTGTCGGATTTGCCATAATCCGTGTTGTGTTATTGATTCGTTTTGTCTAAAGAATTCATCCGCGATTACATTTTTGTATTGGTTCAATGTTATAGGAAGTGTGATTGATGCCTATTCTGTTCTAGCATGTTTACAGCAATAGTCGACCCCCTAATGATAAATGGATCGTTTTCCGTTTTCTTTTTTGTCCATTTTTACTATTAATATATATATATGGGCAATTAAATATTATATACAAAAACAAACTATCCTATCTTTATATTGAAAGACATTATATAATCTGTTTGTTAAAAATAATAAATTTTAATCATCTTGGAACATTTTCATAAATAAAATGGTAATAAACAGGTAAGTCAGACGTTTGTTTATATTGTCTGCGTATTGATTGTTTAGAATAGAAATATCATAATGGAGGATATATAAATATAAAATTTAATAATAAAATGGTTTTCTATTTAAGTACATTAATATTATATTATAAATAATATTTTTTTATTAAGAAAAAAAAGTGAGATTATCAAAAATCAATCAATAACAGAAAAACAAAAAATTAAACTTTGATAATAATGACGTGACGTGATATTTATTATAACCGAGTTTTTTATAACCATACCACCAATTTGACATGTGATTGTCAGTTTTTCTATATTTAATTTTTTTAAATTTTACTTTATTGTATCACACGGGCGAGTATAAATAACGTAACATAATTAATAATTAATACAACATTTAATATATTATTATTATATAATAAAATTTAGATTTGTTTATTTGCATACACAAAGGATGAAGCGTGGATTTATTCTATTGTAATTAGTGATTGGCTAAATGAGATCTACTCATACTAACAGTATAAGTATAAATTCCTAAATTCAATCACACAATACTCATTCATGTACATACTGTGTGCATTGATTTGTTAATCTATCTCCAAGTGTTAATTCATTTATTACTCGTACTTTTTAAAGTGAATTATTCAAAATACTTTATTTTAAACAATAAAAATCAATATACATACATAATTAACAAAAATTATTTTCATTTTCTTGTGACTCTAAAAGACCCTTGTTTCAGCTTCATAACCGTTAAACAAAAAAGTTTTTTGTTTGCTTGTTTTTAAATTACAAGAGAATCATAGAAAAATGTGCTTCCAAATGAGAATTGGTTAGCTAACCGCTTTCTTTCGAATAGAGTTCATCTTCTTAACCTTCTTTTTGTCGATTTTCTAAAATATATATAAAAGCTATTTACTTACCAACGTTGATGTTTGTTTGATCAAATGTTTTTAAATTTTTGATCGTCGTCTAGAAAGATTATTTCTGGGCCTAATCTAATTTGACTTCTATTCAAAATGTACGTGACCGTAACCATGGGAAATAAAGAGCACAAAACTATCTATCTACACTAATAGTTTATTGTCGTCTTTTTCCTCTAGTAGCCATTATTTTTATTTGGACATGTCAAGATGGGAGTTTTTTTCGTCGCTCATTATTATATTCAAAAACATTATTTTATGGTAATGGATGGCATTGAATTGCTATTTATATCTAGTTTTTTTTATAACTGGTGTAAAGTATATCGTGCATAGGTATCGAATTAATAATTCACGAAGCCAATACTTCAATAGTTCTTTAATTATGGTTTCTGGGGAATGTCATATGTCCTAAATCGAAATGAACAACTTACGACTCAGCAGTGCGAATTATATATATGTAGTTGATGATTCTGAATTTTCTAATGCGAGCATACATACTGACAAGCAAATAGGATCTTTTTCATATTTGAATAGATGAAAACTTTGAATTATTGGACATTGAACTGGAAGCTTATCATATTAATATCATCTAGAACCCTAACGATTGTGTGTATTTCAACCGCATTGATAAAAATATGTATACATGTACACAACTGTTTATATAATGAATGTTCGGAGATCAGTGAGTGACGACGACCTACGACTTCCAAGCTATTTAATGCAAAGCTTCGTTTTGAATTACCTTCGACTAAGGATACCGGCTGCAACTTTTGATGATGGTTGCTACCATCTTTGCGTCATATAAAAATGATTGCAACCACCTTTACAACCATTTTGTTTCCTTTTTTGGATTGCGACATGGAACACTACCTTCGACCAAGACCAGAGTAGTGGAATTGGATTCTATATTCGTTGAAGACAATTTGAAACCTTTAGGATTTTATATTATGATTCCAAAACCTTGCATTGGAGAATTTCATACATCAATGTTACTATTAATAATATATTCTGAATTTTGCAAAAAAATATTTAATTACATCTAACGGACTCGTTTTCTTGTAGCTCTCCATTTTTGTTTGTGCATGTATCATTAGTCATGATTGCATTGTAAATTTATATATATATATATATATAACTGTTATATTATCACAGATTATTTAATCGAACCTTGATGTTACTGCAAATAATTGTTTCTCGTGAAGGACTAATCGATGTAATGGATTTGAATTATATAATGAACGAATGTAATATTGTTTCCCACGCTAACTATAAATATGTTTACACTTTGTTCATTTTTGTCATCAAAATAATCGTTATATAAAATATTTTAGATATCAGTAATTCAGCCTATTTTTCCTTTCAGGGAATAATGATCTATATGTAATATTCTACGCTACATTAACTATTTGCTTATTTCACGTCAATCTTCTTTACAATATACATAGAATATTTACTACTAGTTTTTCTAATGAATGTATAGTGTCATATTTGTCAGATACTCTAAAATTGTCTCTTGATGAATGAATAAAGTCCAAAATAAAAGTTTACCATACAGAGTGTAATTATGTGAAAAAGAACCATTTTTTCTCGTCGTTGGGAAAATGAAAGACATGATTGATCCTTAGGTCGTAGAGCTATTAAAATAATGCTACTGCTATCGACCGTCCCTTTCATTCTTTTAGATAGACCCTGGTTCACTTATTGTTGTTTTTGCCACCGCTAATCACAATTTAATTAAGGCCAAAAAATAAACACAAAACTCTCCAAATGTAATCCTTTTTTTAGACAATGTTGTAAAAGGCTTTAGCAGTTTCTAGATGAGAAAAGTTGCCATTACTGGTGAGAACGTCTATACGAACCTACACATCATTTGAAGTGACCTTTAATGAGAAACAAAATGCTTGAATAATAACTTAAGGAACCATGTCATTATGTGACCCAGACAGAGATGGTTTTCCGGCCTCGTCTAGCTAATGAAAAACTAGTCCTTGAACGTGAGTGGAAAGAAAAAATTGCCATGTTTTTGGACTAACAAAAAAAAAAAGATTTCGATAATCAGTCAGTTAATAAAATTTGAGGACCTCATTTGATAGTAGTACAACCAAGATTTTGATCCCTGGAATTATATAAATATTTTGTGCATTTGTATTTATATTAATATTGATTATTTATTATATATTATTTATATACTTTGCTTTTTATTAATATGATAAGTTGCATACGCGTGCTCACTTTAAATTCATTGCCTAAAAAAGAAAAACAAATAATTATATTTTTTTATATTTATTTATTATTATTATTTGTTTTCTCCAATTCATTATCATTTTTACGATAAATATTTATGTATTTATTCTTTGTAAGCAAAAATTTTTTTTCTGAGTTATAAACTAACTAATAGTAAGTATCGATTTCGCCGATAGTAAAAATGAATGATTGGTACAAGTGAATAAATTCTCTATATAAAAAAACTATTCTCTAAATTAAGTTATTAATTAATTAATTAATTAATTTAATTAAATTAAATTAATAAACATTCACACGGACCAAATGTAATCATTATATACGGTAAACCAATACCATACTAGTATCGCAAACTTAAAAATATCTGTGTCCAAAGCAAGGAAAATGAGGGGAAATGAAGGGAAAGTCGCGCATAAGCAAATCACGATTCGAGAGTCGGAGATCGAAATTATAATATCGTTTTTTAATCTCAACGATAGAATAAATAAATCAACAAACAAACAAATCAGCCGTCGATTACTTAAGTAAATCGATGCTTAATTATAATTATAATTCGTTCTTTGACGTTTTTCCTCTTTAACGGAGAATCCGAACAAATCAAAAATCTTATTTTTTTCTTTTTTATTTATTATACAAAAAAAGTTTTATACAAAAAATTTAAAATAAAATTTAAAAAAGTAAAAATTATTTATTATTTTATTATTTATCTTTGTCGATCTTTTATCATTATCTTGTCTCATCGACGATAATTAATAGCCTGCTTGTAATTCTGTTTGCTTTTGTGTCCATGCTGTTGTGGTCGCCGGCGCATATTTACGGATGTACGGATATGATGATGATGACGACATTTTTATCGAATCTACAAAGTTTTAAAAAAAAAATGAATTTAAAATTTTTTACCCCGAGATTTTTCAAAATAATGATATAATAATGTAAAAAAGAACTTTTTTTACCTTTAAATGATAATTGAGAAATTTTATTTTCATACCAATTTTTAACAGACTTTGCAATCAAATAATCAGTTTCACTAACAAATTTAATATGATCAACGTATTTATTATCTTCTATCATTAATCTTGCTTTTTTATTCCTACTCTTATTATTCTTTGTGTTGTTATTATATCCTTGTCTGTTATCTTCTTCTTCTTCCTCTTCTTCTTCTTCTTCATATATTTCTTCTTCTTCTTCTTCCTCCTCATCATCATCGTAATAATTATAATTGTCAAATGTTGCACCAATTACCGTCAACAATTTATTTCCATGTTTTTTAATTGCATAAGCTTTATAATCTTCAACTAATCCATTATAATATTCTGTCAAATCTTCTTCTTCTTCGTTATTATCCTCACCCTCATCCATATTCATTTCCACTTCGTCATCTTCTCCTTCACTTACCATCGTCTTTCTCTTTCTCGCGTTCTTATTCATCATGCTCTTTCTTATCTTTCTACTACGACTACTATTGCTACTACCAACTTGTGGTTTCACTAATATTATAATAAACACGCCACATTCTGACGCTAATAAAAATACACCTTTCTCATTATACAATCCCAACAAATCATCATCCATCAAGTTCCAATGGAAGTCGTATAAATATTTGAATCCAACCAGACAATTCTCTATAACATTTAAAAAAATCCCACCATTTCCATCAAAACCGCCACCATAATAGTTACTACTAGCACTGGCAATGGTCGTTGAAATAATCATCCAAGAATTTCTTTGCCACCTATCCACTTTACATAGATAATCTATAAACGGTGAATACCATGTCTTTGATATTTTTAGTAGAATATGGTCAATTATATAGGCTTGATCATTTAAATTCCATTCAAAAACAATATTGCTAGTTGTCCATCCAAAATTACCTGTAATACATGGCAGTAGATGTTTGCTATTATTATTATTATTATTACTACTATTACTACTATTACTACTATTATTTATTATTTTAAAAATATTGATGATTTGCTCTAAATCTTGTTTAGAATTGATATCGCCATGAAACATTTTTTGCTCAATTGACCTTATTATGATTACCGTGTTTCCTTCTTGGATGCTACTAAATATCGATCTACAAAATTTCAATACTAAGCTTTGTAGATCTCTTTTGTACTCGTTATCCATCATGTGTGAAGTTGTACATTCAACACATTTGCAATTATTGGTGATGGCGGTGTTAATATAATATTTGCTATAGTTTTTCTTATTTTGTGTAGTGGTTGTGGTGTTGTTGTTGTCACTGGTGATAATCTCCATTATGTTGATCAAAATTTGGTTTTTTTTTTAGTTTAATTTAATAATTTAACGTTTTAAATAATGTTTAAAAAAAAAATTTTTTTTTGTTGTTTTAGAAATTTTTATTGTTTTTATTGTTAAAAAAAACCAAAAATTTTTCTTTTATATAAAAAATTTTGAAAAAAACACATAAAAGCATTTTTCCGATTTAATGTTACACGGCATTAAAAAAAATAAATAAAAGAACAATGTAAACGCAAACAATTGATTAAAAAAAGTCTTTTTCTGTGCCACAAAACCAAGTTAGCGAGTAACAAAGAAATAGTTAATAATAACGTAAATGCATAACAATTAACAATATTCACAAAAAAAAAAAAAAAAATCACATAATAATAATGGTATATAAAACAATGAAGAATTTACACATTAATATTTAATTGTAATTGGTAAAAATATATGCATTTCATATGTTTCTACATTTTTTCTTTACTCACTTTTTTTCTCTAACGCCAAAAATTGTGAATAATATGAATGAAAAAAAAATTTTTCAATAATTATTATCAAATAAAATAAATACATTTGTGGCGAAATTAATTTTTATTTATTTTCTTGCCTTAAAATGTGTTCATTCATTCATTTCTCAAAAACAAATACATTAGTAATCAAAAAAAATTTTTTGTTTTTAAAAAAAATATTAATGTAATAATCATTATTAACACATGTTGATGATTCTGATCCACATCTTTAATTATTTTTTCAGATAGCTAATAATAATAATAATAATGAATGGTTATTAGGACATATTAACACCAGACAAGAAATTTTAGGGGTTCAAAAGTAATTTGCAGACAAAATTTACCATCACTTGAAGTAATCCGAAAATGAGTTACATAACTAGCTCTTGTATAGAATTTTTAAAGAAGCGAGAATTAAATCTTTAAGGATGATACTTTTAAAATAATCCGATCACTGGTAATAATTTCTTTGAGTTGGTCGTAGAAGAAGAATTCAGAAGTTATGGTATTAAAGAGGGCCTGCAAAAAAAGATGAAGTCTATTTTGCATACTATTTTTACACAATTCTTTTGTTTCCACCCACTTGGCTTAGAAAAACAACCATTTGAATGTAAAGCTTCATATAACAGAGAATTTTCTTTTTATGGGAAATAAATACGAGTTAGCATGCAATAATGGAAAAATCAAGAGTTTAAAATAAGTGCCACGTAAGTTACAAGCATTTCTCGACTTTTTAGTTATTTTTGACGTAATTAGTGCATGTTTCTGCATTCAATAATAATAATTGGTTTATTGTATGTCTGACTATAATAAGGCTTTCCATCTAGAAAATTTTGAATGCCTAGATGTGCAATAATAGAAATTTTGACATGTCTCATTTCGTAGGCAGACATATAATAAAATATTTTAATAATAATAGTAATAAATATGTACATTTGAATAATGTATTTAAACATACCGTTTACTCTCTACAATAATAACGGATCTTTCTATAATAATAACTGAGAAAATTTAAGCACAAGCTATGTTCCATATATAATTACTATTACTCTTTAGAACGGATTCTCTCTATAATGGACATTTTTTTGTAAATCAAATGGTCCGTTATGGAGTGCTTTTCTAAAACTTTGAAATTTCATAACTATTAATAAATGGTTGATCTTATTTTCACCAATATGTAGAGAAGGCGGAGAGCAACATATCAATGTAAAAAAAAAGTGTTATCAATAACATAAGTTTTTTGATCCTCATACCTTACTTTTTTACTTTAGACTGCACAAACTTGATTTTTCGGTCCTCGTAACCAGCCGGATTAGTTTTTGGAAGAAATAAAAGACAGATCACTGGGTCATTTTCAAATTGAGAACCGAAAAATCGGCCTTAATTGAATTGTTGCACAGATCAATTACATCCAATTGACAAGAGTGTTCACTATGCTACTCCCATCTTTTATTTTTTTCTCAGGTAATTGTATTCTTAATTTGATAGCATTCAAAAATCAATACTGGATTTTCTGCTGCTTTCTTGAGCTCATCTATCCAGATAAGAACTTGATCTGGGATTTCATGTGCACAATTCCCAAAAGGCAGGCATCTTCCCTCATCTTCAGTGACTATTTGAGGTAAAGTCTCAAATCCAGTTAAAAATTTAAGGCTTATTCATAGAATACTTCACTAAATTTAACCATGTATTCTACTTCAATATTTAGTTTAGTATCTTCAAGCAATTGAGGAATGTCTTTTATTTTTTAAGACATCCATCAAGAACATTTTGCAATTGTTCCGACTCAGCAGTAAACCATTTTGCAAATATTAGACGAGTATTTTATTTGTCAAATATTGCTAAACAGTTGTTAGTTGGTATAACCAACAGCTTGAGATTAGCTTTTGATAAGTTTTTAAAGGATATTAAAATAAATGCCAGTATAATTTATGTATCAAGTCAGGTTTCATATTCAATGGATTTTCTTTATTACTATCATTATATCCACCATGTAAGTGTTATTTAAATTGAGAAGATTATATGGGCATAGTTGTTCCAAAGAGAGGCCTGATGGAGAATTAGTTTTTTTCCAAATGTTGTATTTCAAAGTTCGCTATTGCAATTTGCAATGCATGCAGACTACAAGGTATTCAGTAGGAGGAAGATTGTTAAATTTAACAACTGCACTAATTTGGAGTCAGACATATAAGAAGTATTATCTGCAAGCCAAAAATTGCATTTTTTTCGGACTAATCTCATTTTCTTTGCACTTTTTTTTTTTAACTGCATTGGCTACAGTATTTCCATTGCATTTACCTAGGGCATCCATCTTTGCAATAGTAATTGTGAACTGATTTTTATCCTCATTACAATGAGCAAAACGAACCAAAAATATGTTTTTATCATCATGTGTGCTTTCATCACACATTATTCCATAAGAATAAAAATGTGATTTGGTATCTTTTGGACAATTTTGATGATGACACAAAGTAGCAATTTCTTTATTCCAGCATAAAATAGTTCCAGTTGAAAGTCAATGACCTGGCTCCTCACCTGTTAAAAAATGTATAGTTGCTCTAGTACATTCAACAGTGTATGAATTAGAAATGCTATCAGTATTACTGATTTTGGTTGCAAGTTGTAAAATTTAGGTGTGTATTGATCCTTGTTTTCTTTTATCATCCTTTTTATTTGTTGCATACTGGAACTGGTTGGAAGTAAGATTTTTTGCTTTTTATATAGAACACGACCTAGAAATATTTCACTTCTTTCATCTTAAGAGATCTTAATTAAAGATCAGTAATCTCTTACTCCACTAACTCTCCCTTTTTTGTATAGATGAAGACTGTTTATAAATCCCATCATTTACAAATTATTTTGCTTTTTTTGAATAAATTTCTCCATGATGGTTCTTTTATCATATTTCATTGTTTGAAATAGAGTATAAGCATTGATTATTTGATTTTTAGACATGCTCAATGAGTTCATTCCTCTTTTTTCTATTCTATTTTGTGGATGGTTTCTTGAAGTTCATGAAATAAAGATAGGAACCACAACCGCCACCACAATTCAATTTTTATATACTGCAATTAGTTGCAACTAGTTAATTATAGCTACTAGTTAAAAGGTTTTTTGCTTACATATAAAGGTGCTGTTGATTAAAGATGGATTACGAAAAAATTAATAAACCAATGTTTGTTATACAAACGGTTAAAAAAGATATTTGCTTCGTGTATAAAGACATGGTTAATTAAAGAAGACGAATTATGATTACGATGTTACATAATTTATTTGTTTGATTCATATAAAAAAAATCAATAATTCAATGTTTGTTATGCAAACAGTCAAAAAAAATGCTTGCTTTGCGTATAAAGACGTGTCTAATTAACTATTACATGACTTGTGTTAATAATAATTCAATTTTTGTTGCGCGAACAATCAAAATAAAAAAAAAAAGTAAATTCTTATTTGAATTATTGCAATACACATGTAAAATTAATTAGTCGGACACAGCAGCCAATTGTTTAAAGCACTTGATAAATGACCATTTACATGCTTTATTCTAATTATTCCATGATATGTGATTTACCACAAAATAATTATACTTGAAACAAGTTTTTAAACCGAAGCATACTAGTATACTGCAATTTTGATAAAATAAACTATTTCGTGACCAAATGGTGCATTTATCGAGTAGTCTAATACAAAAACCAATTTTACACATTGCATAATCATGCATGCTGTGCTATGCGAGATCCATGTTAACGTTAAAATCAAGTTGGCGTCGTCTTCATCGTGAAACACATCACTTGGGCCAAGACAATAGTCTATTTTATTAAATTCGAAACATGTAAATAGGAAGCTGTCCCGCGTTTTTTTCGTAACACTAACGTAGAGATATTTCAGAACATTAAACCATGAAATCACGCCATCATTATAGTGATACAATCTTAAAATGCCAAAACTTTCATAGCGATGATATTTCTTTGGAGTCACAATATTATAAATTACACACTTATTGCTATATATATATTCATTCGGAGCATCAATTATTATGTATTCAAAATCTATTTTTTTAATGATTAGTGGTAATAACCACCACCGTTCTTTTTAATTTTATTATAATTTCTATATACTTTACTTGATAAACCGAACTTAATGGTTTGTACAAAATAATAAAAATATAACTTTCTAAGCCGAATATGATCATAAACTGGTTTTAAAATTCGTCTTATAATGATAAAATTCGGTTTAAAAAATGGTCGTTTAGTCAAGGTGATTATTACTAAATTAGGCTTTTAACCCTTTACCGAAATTATATTCTACTCTTTTACCATTGGCTGGTTTGCCCTGTTTGTAAATCGAATTTTGATAAGCCGATCCTATTTTTGTGATTTCCAAAAGTTCGGCTTATCGAGGTTTGACTGTAATATTTTAATGTAATATTCTGAGATTTACGTGTGCTTCAAAACATGGGCAGATATTACTGGGTAACTATAAGATCCTTATCAATATAGTAAACAATTGGTATTTTGCTTTGTGTTAAATCTTTGTTTTTTTCTCATTGACTGAAATGAGGTAAATAGTCCTGCCTTCTATTGGAATGTTACAAAAGCATCACAGTTCATTTATTTTCAGGTAAAAAAATAATTCAAATAACAACTCCTAATAACCATCATTAAACATAATCAATAAATATTTACAATATTTTTTTTTTTCGTTCACAGTAACGTTTAAAAAATGCTTACTTTCAACTGGGAAGAGGGAAGGTATAAGGGGAGAAGTTGAATGAGTTGGAAGAAGAGTTATATAAGGGAGAATTCAGTAATGAAGAACAGAAGAAAAGAGGGTAAAGAAGAAAAGAAAAGGTTGGTGAATGACAAAGATGATAAGTGGGAGCAAGTAAAGAAGTTACAAGACACATTAGTTGAGTTTGGCAAAGAAAAAGGTAACAAAAATTATTTTCCATTTCATTTATTTATTTGGTATACTGCTTACAACACTGACTAACTTATGCTTTTTTCCTTCAATACTTTGAAATTAAATTTTTTAAATTGTTTTCTTCTATTATCTATTAATTATTATTCGTTTTGGAATTACCCTTTTTTAGTTGGTGTAGGTAAGTATCATTATTGCTTTTATACACTATTTATGATGTTAATTAATTATCATATCCATGCTGATTCTCATTATGGTATATACATTAATATTATCAAGAAAAAGGAGATATATTGAGTTCACTTGAAGAGGTAAAGACTGAACTCACTGGATTCAAAGGACATTTTGATAGTGAGAAGACATTTTCAATATCCAGCATGAATACTCAAAAAAGAATTAGGCTTGCAACATACTATAATGCATGTCAGCAAGTTGAATGGATATCCTTAACCATTTACATGTAGTAAAAGATATACATACAAATAAGCACTATTGGAATACTGGGATTCCTCATGGCACAGCAGATGTGGTTGTTTTTGAATCTAAAGCACTTTGTGAACAAGATGCAGTAAAATTAGTCTTTGAGTTAAAGAAGGTAAGCAATTGAACTGATGGTGAAGAATTTCCAATGAAAAGTATTTGGAAAGCTTCCATGTACATAACATTACATGTTGATCATCTTGTGTGACAAATTTCAGACCTTTTCAATCATGATTAATTTTGAAATAAATAAATTATTACGTCTTGCTGATTTATATAATCAAGGATTGATTGATGTCTTAATCACGTGGTATGTAGCACAAAAGCACCCAATCCTATCAAGAGAATATATATTATTTTTTTTTAACCAGATTAATAAATGATTGTTATTTTATTAACAATTAATACAAATGCTTTTTGCACCAGAAGAATCAGAAATAGAATAATGATAATAATGTAGAAAATCATTTAAATAATATCTATGTACATAGATTCATTGTGAGTGTTGATTATTTGTTTTGATTTGTGTAATAAATAGAACTTGGTTGGTTTTTTTTTTTTGGAAAGAGAAATCCTCAAAGAACTTTTACTTCTTTAGTTGATTTATCGTAATAATGAGTAAGTTTAAGTTTAAATTCTGAAATGGTAATTTGTAATAATTTCTATAATAATAACAACAATGATGATGATGAGATGTAAATATTATTAATATAAAAAAAATCATTATTATCAGCCAATCTACTAATTAATTGATAAAGTAATAAAATAAATAGTTATCATTTACCAATAAATGTGCTTGCTCGATGCTAAGTTTATCACCAATATTGCAAACTTTATAATCAGATTTAAGCACCAAATGTTCTCTTTCTACAACAACTGGCATTCCTAATTTCTCCAATTGTTTTGACATTGTGACCGGTATTGGGAATCCTCCATTGGAATAATCATTACTAGCACTCCCAAAATTATATCGAACTATACCCTCAGGTATTATAATTGTTCCACTGGCAATATTTCCAGATCTGGCATGATCTTTTTTAATAAAACTTTCAAAATAATCTTCGACACTTTCCACTGATTCATTAGTAAATAATAGGCCACCATCTCCTTTGAGTAACTGTTATGCGTGAATGTGAAGGTGAAAAAGAGAGAAGGGAGGTGTGAAGAAATTAGAGAATGTATATATACACATAATTATCACTCAAATATATAAATATATTAAAATAATAATTGCTTTGGAAAACTCTGATAAATTCAATTCAAACTCATCACTTTTGTCAACTCCAATTGCCTTTTGCATAAGTGTTCTTTTACAAAATATTATTCTATCAAATCATTAATTAAATAAATGTAATTTAATAAAATATAACTATTTATATTATTACTATTACTATTCTTATTCTAATCATAATAATAATAATGATTGATTTACTTACTTTCCTTTATGGGCCCAATCAGCTCTGATCTGTTGTAAAAATAAATTTCTCATGCCTTCAGGTTCTAATCTCCAAATATAATTATAATTTGTTACATAGCTTTGAATCTTTAATAAATAATATATTTAAAGGAAAATTTTACATTAACATCATTATACGAAAGAGCGATCGTTAATCGATTGATTGGTTAAAATAATGATGTAATAATATTCATACCGTTTCAATCAATTCTTTTTTGCCTTCTTTATTTTGTTTGGAAACTTTTCCCAAATTTACTTTAAAAATTTATTAAATTAAATTTCATTTATTAGTAAAATACTATTATCAATATATATATATATTTATTTATTTAAATATATTTACTTTCTTTTCTTCTTTTTGAAATTGGCATTTTTATTATATATTATTATAAATATATGCAGAAAAAAAAAAAAAATTCAGATATAAATCACGTTGGTGTAACTTTATTTTTGCAAAAAATAATTTCAAAGTGAAATTTTGTTAAACTCACGTCACTAATGTAATGTGATTATAATATCAACAGCCGTAATGTTTGATGCCTTTTATTGCATATTTTACCTAAATTATATATAGGACAAATATGAAATAGAACTACAACATTATTAGATGTGTTTTAAGGTGAGAAAAGTTCCTTTCATGCTTTCAAAATAAATAATACCCGTGATTATTTAAGGAAAGAAAAAATTCCTATAAAGTTTTCCACGAAGAAAGAAAAATCACGAATAAAAGTGAATCTTTGTGATTACATAATTAAGGAAGTCTTTTTCAAAATGATAGCTATAATATTGAATTTTGAAGTTATGCCCGTCAAATCAACTTTGTCTTCTCTTTGTTTATATATGCATGTTCTGAGGTATGGCTCTTATATTCTGCTGCTGCTGCCTTTTCAATATCTTCATCATTATCTGTTTGTGCTGTGTGATTTTGCTGATCCTAGAATAAAATACGAATCGAGAAAATGGATAACATACATAATATACACAACCAGAAATATTGCGCAAGCATTTAATTGCCTTTTGTAAGATCACAGATAGGTGAACTCTTGTATTTACCATAAAATTTTAAGTATACATTGTCTTCAAATTCGGAGACAGCAATATGATGTTGCTTTAGTTGATTGAATATCATTTTCCTTTACGACAAGGATGTGAAGCAATTCTATCAAGAATAAATAAAGAGTTCTCGAGCAACATACTTTTACAATTAACTATTGGACTTGGGTAAAATTTTGTAAATATCCATGTGGAGCTTTTTACTGGTAATAACTTTTCAGTGAGTGTTCATAACAATTTTTTAAAAAAAAAAATTATTAAAACTAGTTTGTAAATTATTACTTTATTGTTTTACGATGCAATAACTCTAAACCTATTTTAACTGTTTTAGAGCATCAATTTCGTAGTAAATTAACTTAGAATGGCTTTTTTTCAAAACCAAGAACCATTTATTTGTTGATGAGTGTATAAATTCCTGTTTATTCACACTAGTAAATGGAAATAGTTTAATCGGGTCAATTCTTCTTTGTATTTATTAATTACTGATCTCACGCAATCGTAAATATATATTATTGATAAGAGTGAAATTCAGATTTATCAAATATGTACTATTTTAAAATTTACACATGAATTAATTTTAAAAATCATGCATATATATACTCGAAATCTAATAAATTAAATCGTTATTTTTATCAGGTATATAGATCTTATTTGCTACATTTAAACATTTTACTCGTGACGTAGGCTTTCAAATTTTCTACTCGCAGCACTATAAATTTACTCAGATATTTGTGAAGAATTAAAAAATCTTTATTCTCATAATACAAATTCATATTCGTAATACAACTCAATCTTGTTATTAATTCGAATTATTCGTTTTGTTCGTTCATCAATTGTTCGATTTGAAGCAAATCCTAAAATCTAATGCCCTTTTTTAAAAATATCATTGGTTACTGTAAAGTTCCTTACACAGCATATGAGAACCAAATAATAACCCCATATTTCAATTTCAGGAATTTCTTTGTTTATTTAAGTTTGTTGTTTCTGGATCTAAAGCAACTAACCTTATTTTAAAGACGTTGTTTGAGTAACATCATACTTGGCTGTTAACGCTCCTTGTGTCGGTTTTGGTTTGGCCAAAAGCTCTTTACAAATTTTTCGAGAACAATATATGTTTTCTTTTTTTTTAAATTTTATTTGATATTTAATAGTTTCTATATATGCAACTTAAATGCACTTTTGAGAGTTCCACAAAGCGAAATTTCACATATGATTATAATGTATTAGCACATATTAGTATCATTCTATTAGGCGATCAATTTATTGACTGTACATTTAACAAAGTTTTTGACTGTACCAACAACATCTTATTATCATCTCCGTTAAATCATTTATACTTATCAAGAAATTACAAATAGAAATTTCATTCAGCAGAAGTAACTTACGGATTTATTTTTATACATTAGACTTATATAATCGACCTCGCGTAATATATATAAAAAAAGGTATTTTATTTTCTTGAAACGAATGCAACTTGCAATTCTAAAGAAGATGAAGTTTTCACACCACATTTTATATTCAATTTTTATCTTTGTTTTATTTGTTTCATATAATCCAACACAATGCCATCACGTGTACAAGCATTCTCCAGAACAACTTATAAACAGCCATTTATTTTACCTTGAACCAGCACGGACTGCTTTTTCTCGTCATGTTAAACCCATAAATTATCCTGATAAATGTAAATTAATACAGTTACATTTGAGCACTAGACACGGTAAATATTATTTCGTGTACAAACATGTACAAATTTGACCGCATCAAATAATCTTTTTAAAACAATTATTAGGAGCGAGACATCCAACCCCAGATGATATTAATGCTTATGAAAAATTGGAAAAAATATTTGCTAATGTTCCTATTGCAAAAGAATGGGTAATAAACATTATTTGTCATATTCAGTAAAATTTATCATAACTGAAAAAACATCTTTCTTTTTATATATATAGTATAAAAATGTTTTCCCGATGAGTAAAAATTTTCAATTGAACAGACAAGGAGAAATCGAACCATTCTTTGATGGTAAGCAGTCTCTTAAAAGATACCCAGAATTTTGGAGAGGAGTTAAATACGATCCCGAAGTTGTAAAATTTCAAAGTACCGGTACTTCAAGGTGCAATTTCATATTTAAAACTCCTACTTTTTTTTTATTTTAATAAAAAACACACACACGTATATAAAATACAATATTGTTTAAAGAGCTGGTGCATCGGCAATGGCCTTTTCCGAAGGATTATTTAATGGAAAAGGCTCTTTAGACACTTGTAAAAGTCAACCTGTATACATTTCGTCAGTACCAGAGGTATAAAAATTTTACTACGCCATTTATAAATCATTTTGTTAGCGCACATATTAATGTATTAATATTATATTGTATAGGTGCAAGATGAGGTTTTAGCACCATTCAAGTCCTGCCGACGGTGGAATGAGACCGTTTCTAAGAACAATCCATTACTCAACGAACAACTTTATACATATGGCAACAAGACTCTAGCACCAATTGCAAACCGTATTTCTAACGAACATGGTCTTAGTCCACCTCTTGATCCACATTTATTACCATATATGTTTACTAATTGCCAGTATTGGATTGTTCATTTTAATCGAACTGACACATGGTGTTCATTACTAAGCCATAAAGAACTTCTATTATTACGATATTATTGGGATATTTATGGATATTATATATTACAATATGGACATCCTTTTAATAGGCGGATGGCCTGTCGCTATATTACTCAACTTGTAAATGAAGTTGATGATTATATAAGTGGGAAGTCTCTTATGATAGCTGATTTGAAGAATTCTCATGGATTTACTTTACTTACAATATTTACTTTACTGGTATGTGAAAATTTTCATTTTTATTTCATCTTCTGTTCTTTGATGATAACATCTATATTGTCTTTTGATCACAGGGAGTATTTAAAGAAAAATACCCACTCACGGCAGATTTAACCTTTGAACAAATTAAAAAAGTCAGGTATACAGAATATGCAAGTATACCCTGGACTTCTACACTTTATTGGGAAGTATATTCTTGTTCAGGTGATCATAATAATAAGGATAATGTAAAGATACGAGCAGTATTTAACTTTAAACCGTTTGTGATTCCGGGTTGTGGAAATGAGTATTGTGACTGGAACAAGTTTAAAGAACTTTTTAGTGATCAGATTGGGTGCGATTTTAAGAAGATGTGCGCCTATCCTTAATAGGATGATTTAAATTCTTTTGTCACTTTTTTTTTTTGTTAAATAATTTTAAAATAAACAATGATCAATTTGTGTGTATATAGTAATAATTTTGGCATAAAATTCTCTTATGTGTTCCGTGCATCCGTTGTGAGAAGGTATCATCAAGTTTGATAAAAAAAAAATTTATCATCTTGATTTTTCCTTCCATTAAACATACCATAGATAATTAATTATTGTTGTTATTAATTATAATAATTATTAGTATTGTTGTTCTAAACATAGAATACTTGCTAATGTTAAATTATATCTATTATTAATGTTACTTCACTGCTGCACATTCGAATTATGTCTTCAAGATTAATGCATATTTTCTTTAATATGTGACTAATTCTCAGGTTTTTTTTTATTTCAAACAATTAATTGAATAAAAAAATAAATAAAGTCTGCCAAAAGAACTTTAGAGAAATAAACGTGACTCATAGTAAAACAGCTATTTGAGAAGTTTTTAAAGTTCAAGAATGATTTTGTGAATTTCGTGAATGTACAAATGAAATAATTGAAAAAAGAGGAGAGGTTGGGATTACACGAGAAATTTTGTGAGTAAATTTACAAGAAAAGGGAAAAGTTGGTATTTGAGTTGATAAATTTTTGCGTGATAGCACACAATTGAATTACTTTTGAATTATTGATGATGTGAGAACAAGGGTACCAAAGAAACAAACCAGATTTCCTACTGACTTTGCTTTAAAGAATAAATTATTATCATTTATATGATTTTCAAAAAAAAAGGTTTTCTTGTCAACATTATGCGTATAAAATTTTTTTTTTAAAAGGATGAGTCAATACCAAGAATACAAAAGAACCCAAGAAAAAGATAGAAGCGAAGCACTTGAGAAAGTGTTATCAGAGCATAATTGCTTTGAGAGCTATTCTAATTAATTAAAATAAATTATTCCGTATAGATATTAAAAGTCTATGAGAAGTTGGTTAACTTTTGATCAAATCAAGCTAACGAAAATATCAAGATAGCTAACTGGTTGGCTACTAATCTAGAGTAAAATATCAACAACAATATAAACATTTAAGCTTTGTCAAATACTTGCTTCACTCGGCTAACCTATAAGTCGAAAGAAAGCTCTTCTATGACAAGTCGTCCAATCCTTGATAAAGTTGAGTCATCTAAAAAGCCACACTAAGATAAAAGCTAACAATGTAAAAATGTCTAACAATTATAAATGGAAAAAGTAATCGTCGCCAACATATTTGCTTCGTCAATATATAGATGTTTTTATTTGCAAGAAATCACTTTTAAGTAAATAAATCGCCTAGAATTCAATAACATATAAATAACAATTGTAATTTTCGCTGTAAACTTCACTTGATCCATGAATTATTCATTCCCCAAATGATTCTTATTTAATAATTATTTGTAACATTAACATTTTCGCTTGCAGAAAAATGCTTATAAGACAAGTCTGCAAATACTCAACTTAATATATTGTATGCTATATAGGTTTCAAAAGTAAGCTGCAAGCCTGATTTCTGAGATATATAACAACTTGAAATATCATGCGATCCTCACATCTAAAAACTACCATTTGGCTCTGAATTAAGCGGATAAAGAAACATTTTTATATTAAAATTTTTTGTTGTCTCTAAGAAAAATTTAAACGATAAGTTTTAAAGCTAGAGTCATAAGCCATAAAACTTATCGACCAATATTTTTGAATTTATTTGTTTTAGTATTTTAAAGATTTTAGAGGCGACTGCTATTTGTCTGGTTTTGTTCCAGAGAGATATAAAATTCAT